TCTAACTATTATAGTTATGCCGCAATAAGTGTTCTTTTATTTAAAAAAGAAAACAACGTCAAATATCTTTGAAATTTTTGTTAAAGACCCGAGCGGAGCCGGGGCGGGACGCTATCGTAAACAAACATGCTTTAACAAAAACCGACTTGAAATAGAAAAAAAAAAGATATTCCAAAACAAATTAATATATATATATATATATTATGTACATAACAATAATCAATATAAAAAAAAAAATCGAAATCGGTTGGCGTGATATTGAGTTATTGATCTCATGGATACCATTATCAGAACTGGACTAAATTGAAATGTGACCCCAAGGGAAGCGTCAGCTTTCTAATAAATAAAAAAATCATCAAAATCGATTCACCCAGTCAAAAGTAATGAGGTAACAAACATTAAAAAAAAAACATAGTCGAATTGAGAACCTCCACCTTTTTTGAAGTCGGTTAAAAATGTGAATTACCGAAAATGGAACGATAAGTGTATCAAGTGTTAAGGAAAAATATCTCCAATCTGCGAGCTAATACAAAACCATTGGAGTTACACCTATGTAATATAAGGTAAAATGGAAATGAATTGTCCTACTAAAAAGTCCGCGACAGCATTTTAGCATATTATTATATATCTATATATATTTTATTTGTAAGCCAGTATAGCCAGTCAAACGATGAATATAAGACTTTTACTGGTGGTAGGGCCTTTTGTGAGTCGGCGCGAATAGGTACTATTAGGTACCACCACCAAACCTATTTCTGTCGTGAAGCAGTAATGCGTTTCGGTTTGAAGGGCGGGGCAGCCGTTGTAACTATACTGAGACCTTAGAACTTATATCTCGAGGTGGGTGGCGCATTTACGTTGTAGATGTTTATAGGCTCCAGTAACCGCTTAACACCAGGTGGGCTGTGAACTCGTCCAACCATCTAAGCCATAAAAAAAAAACTTATTTTTATATATAAAATCTTCTGTGTGTGTGTGTTGTCACTGAACTCATTCTCAACGGCTGGACCGATTTTAATGAAATTTTCTGTGTAACTTCAGGTGGATTCGAGAATAGTTTAGATTCACAAATCAGCCCGGCAGATGGAACTGCAGTCGGTATTTAGGTTATTTATCTTTCCTAGAAATAATTTATATGGCAACACGTTTACCGGGCCAGCTAGTATCTTATAAGCCAATAACGGCTTATATATATATCTTATAAGCCGATAAATGTATGGATGTATGTATGAATATAATATGATTGTGTATATAATATATACATATGTATATACTTTTTTTTTGTGTATGTATTTGTACTTAATATAAATTTCATTGCACCTACCACTATTCACTCTGCACTACCTTTGGTTGACTGGTAGAGAATGCCTTAGGCATTAAGTCCGCCAATGTAAATTTTGGCTTATAAGATATAGTTGTGCCACCAACCTGGCTATATCTGCTACGAAGCAAAGTTTCGCTCTCGAGTGTCATAACATCGTTCGTACAGCGTTATTGAGACATCGACCTCATGCCTCAAGGTGGACTCCGGTCGCTAAATAGCGACCGGAGTCCACCTGAGCTACTCGCCTACGCTTAAATAAGCGTAGGCGAGTAGCTCAGGTCAAGGTCATTCTTTTTAAATTCGCTCAACATTTCCTGTTTTTTTTTTATTGCCTGATGGTGAGTGGTTACCGTCGCCCATGGACTTCAGCAATGCCAGGGGCAGAGCCAAGCCGCTGCCTACCGCTTAATACTCAAGCCTCGTTTGAAGAAGGACATGTCATAGCGCTCGGGAAACACCGTGGAGGGGAGCTCATTCCAGAGCCGGATGGTACGTGGCAAAAAAGATCTCTGGAAACGCACTGTAAATGCACTTCTCTAATTTATAAACAATAATATATCTTTAGCGAAACTCGGTAATGGGACCTGTAATAATCACATTACTATTACAAAAAAAAAAACACTTTTTTATTCCTAAAACAACATTCTTTTATACAAACCTTACTCTAACAGCTCTCAATCTAGAAATTGTTTTAAACATCATCGTTCCATAATTCCATTTTCAAAAAAAAATCCGGATCGCGACAAAAACAAGTTATACCTAATTAAAACTATTCATTTCTAATCCATCCAAAAGTAAAATCATTGTAGAGACAATAAAAAAAATATAAATTCTTTTTTTAAATCATTCTCTCTTCGTGTACATCTGACCGATGAACGAATTCTACGTGTATAGCTCAATTGTTTTACGTTCCGTTTCCAAATTTAAACTGGACGAACTAGTGGGAGCTAGTACGAACCGTCCGGTTTCGCTCTATACCAGCCTTTCCCAAAGTGGGCGATAACGCCCTCTCGTGGGCGCTGCAGGCCTAAAGAAGGACAGACTTTTTAGCGGGAACGCGAGGAGTGAAGTTGTGTGATTTGTTTTATTCTGTCTATTAAGTGTTTCTTCAGGTTTAAATGCGTAATAACGGTGGCTTATTAACTGTTTAATATTTGTGAAAGTACACAAATGTGGGAAAAGGAAACAAAACAGATGGACGTAACTTCTCGGGATCGTCCAAAAAGCCCACTGAAAAAGTCTCAATAAATAACCACAATTTTACAGAGATTATAGATATCCCATATCATCTCATCTCATTTAATTTCATCTCAGCTGATTTATGTCTCAAATTAATCATCTTCATTTCGTTTCACTCCATATTATCATTTTTCATAAAATAAAAGAATTAAAATTAAAATAAGACTTGACCTAAAGGTCTTAGTTACCAGGTCACAAAATCCCTTAAAAAAACTAAAGGGGTCGATAAGAGACCTAGAAAAACAAGGCTTGGGAAACGATTTCTAACTTTATCTACGAGGACTCTTAGACCGACTGACCTCTCGCTATGGTGGTTTTTAGGTAGGTGAAAAAATGGTAGCGCTAAAAAATAATTTATTCTCAAAGTGGGCAAAAAAAGTTTGGGAACCCGTGCTCTTTAAGACTGTAGGTACTAGCGATGGTAGGCGGTAGTGCTAGACGTGGATAGACCTACAGAACGGTTCGAGTGTTATTGATCGGTCGCCGGCACAGCGCAATTAGGGCATCCCCAGGCCCGGCTGCAACACGACGAGGTCGCCCTCTTTCATTACAAACTCAATTTCGTTTCGTCATGTTGGTAACGCTATCTTTGTGTGCATTTCGTATTTGGAACGATTGTCGGCATTATGTGCTTTTGCAAAAAAAAAAAAAGGTTATACAGATTGACTTCGATATTAAGTATAGTCTGTATTTGATACGTTTCGTGTTTTCCTATAAAAAAAAATACCAAAGTTATTCGTAATAAATTGTTTTAAAATTTCCGTTACATTAACAAATTATCTAATCAGTTTTAAGATTTCTTGAAATTTAACAGTAACCTTGAAAAAAATTTTATATAGGTACTTTAGTCACAGTGATTGCTTTAAATGACATTTTATATACATACATACATACATCGGCGCGTATAACTTAATAAACATTATTATTAGTTCAAATTACAAAATACAAGATCCAAATCCGAAACTATTCCATTTTCAAATTTATTCTACTAGACAACTGGCTGACATTTAAAAAGTTTCCATTTCCAAAAAAAACAAATCGAAAAATTTAATGCACATTTTTAAATATAGAAACACTTCGATTCTTCGGTTCTCGCTCGACGCTATTAGGTGCAACGTTCCCTGTGCATTAAGCAATATATTTCTTAATCGTCTTGCAATACCAGGATTTCGACACGAGGCGCCGAAACCCAAACGTAGCGCAAGATGCACTAAGAACGTTACACCACACGTTTATTAATCTTCTTGCTTCACATTTCGTTTGCCAACAGTTTGTGGGCTTAGAACGTAACTTGAAAAAGAATGGCTTTAAAAATTCCACATTGAAGATTTTTAATGTTCAACAAAAACAAAATAACAAAACTGAGCTCTTTGTTTTTCAAGTCACACGTTCAATGCTCACACATAAGCGTCGTTTCAATTCAGCCTTCGAGTCGTCTTCTAAATGACGTCACACACGAAACTCACCCACCATTCGACAAGACTGATGCAAGCGACAGCGCCAGTCAAGACGAAGGGCGGACGAGTAATGCGTTTCATCTTCTATTCGTGTTCATCACTTCTTCTTCGACGCCAAAGTATTCTTGGTACAACACTATAATATCAGTTCCATATCACTACAACAATGAACCATGTCGACTGTCAAATAAAATTCAAAATCCAAATTCAAAACAAGTACCGCGATAACTCAAAATACTCAACCTAATTCCGATAGTAATAAGAGTCAATACGAGTACTTTAACTAAGTCATTGTATCAGAGCGGTTATGTTCCGCTGACAACTGCGCTCGTCGCAACGTCGACGGCTAGTGAAATAATGTAGAGTACTACTCGGAGGGAATCGGCTCCGAGCGAGCTGCACTGCAACGCGCAACCGTCGGCTTCGTTCGTTTCCGCCGAGCGATGTACCGAAACGCTTTTGTGGGCGTGAACGTTTAAATACGGCTTCGTAATTTAAACAAAAAAAAAAACAAAATATAATCCTTCATTCGCTTCCAAATTGAAAAGTTTTTAAATGTTTCAAAATGAGAATAAGTAAATGTCATTTAAAAAAAAACACGCATAGTTCGTAAAGTTCATATAAATGGAAACTAAAAGAATTTATTATCGAATTATTGAATGAAAATTAATACAAATTTATATAAAATTCCTACAAATTTCATGACCCAATTAGTTGTACTATGCGATGCACGTAGTACTAAAGAAGGGCTTCAAAACGTCGATTGGTATGGACACTACCGCGCATGCGTCAATTCCACCTACATAATAATACATATATATCAAACAGTTAACTATGTACCAAATACAGTACCGCGGCTTACACATACATTCTGAAAACTCTTTTTTTTTAATCCTGTGGGCAACCCCTTATTTATGACTACGACCAACACCTACCTTAGTTTAGTTGTCATCGCCCGGTCAGGCCAAAATAGCACTTACCTGACTGGTGTTAGAGTCGAAGACAGCATCGTAAGCGTAAACGCGAGGCGGCTCTGGAGGCGTCACATTGTTCCTGGTCACAGCCACAGTCCCGTTCACGGAATCTACGGACACGCAATTGTAAGAGCCGTCCATTTTCTCCCTCTGGTCCATGGGCCGCACGCGAACCACCACCCGAACATTCTCGACGGTCGGAGCCGAGAGCTCTGCGTCCTATTGAAAACACAAAAAAGTTATCATTAGTGTTGTTTCGAAAAAGGAACGCGGCTGCAAATTAACAAAAAAAAAAAAAACAAAAAAAAAATTGTGTCACATTTGACCTCGCAATATTGGGGTCAAGCTCTAAACTAGCGTCGCGTGTCGTTCAAATTATGTACGTTGTAACGAACGCGCTATTCCGAAGAAGCGCGCGCTGCTAACTCGTTATTTGCGCGATTTAAAAATGGAAATCAAACAAACAAAAAAAAAACCTCAGCACTCCTTTGTTACGCGACCGTTAAAAATGCAACTACGCTATTTTTTTTTCTTTCTCGCAACGCGCAAACGATTCCCTCGTTTCAAATAATAATATTACAACACATTATGTACTCAAATTTCTCGAGTTTGCATTACGCAAACGCCTTTGTTTCGAAATCGAGACATTCGTTAAAAGAAAAAAAAAGCATACAGAGCCCGCAATCTAAAAACACGGTTATACCATACAAAGGCATTATCAGTTTTGGCGGTTAGTAAAAACAAAATATATAAAATAAAAGCGTTCTTTGTTACATTTCTCAATTTAGGTCACACAATTTCGGCTGGCCGGATGACCCGACACGTCCGCTAGCGAGCAAAGACCGCCGGAGACTGCGAGGAGGCGGCCCAGCGATCTGTGGCAACTGGCAACACCTTCGTGTCCCAGAAAATATTAATTTACATACGTACGTACGTACGTAACGAACGAGCATCGTTCCAATTTCAAACGTTTAAAACGCAAAATAATACACCCATTTATGCAATTACTAATACCGATTTAAACAAAGCCACGGACGGACCCGGGTACGTTTTCGATATTAGAACGCCCGAATTAGGTTTGGCGTTTGTGTGTTACTCTTACTTATTAGCGCGTTGACCTAAATCGAAATAGTGACGGCCCGCGTTGCAGAATCCCTTTATAGAATAGACGCGCCTAGTTTATTTTTAGTGTTTACGTACGTATTGTTACAATTAAAATTTATTAACGTGCTTTTTTTTGTTTTTTAAAGCTAATCTATATATACTAGAGGTCCCGCAGTAGTCGAAATTCGAGTATAATTAATTGGAATTGTAAGTTTGTACACTATTATGATTGTACTTTATACTTCTATAATCACAAATTTCGCCAAGACTACACTATAAAAAATAATAACAAAGACAAACAATATTTAATCTCAATTTGACAACAGACGTCAAGAACAAAAGTTTGACAATAAATAGTATGCATGCGTGTGCGCGTCAAATACATGGTATGTAGTGTGTGTAATGTTTTCTTTATTGATTTAATGTATTTTTTATGCATTATTTTAAAAAAATATTAGCATTGTGCACTTTTTCTCTATATTCTGTATAAGTGTGGAAAATTTCATACTACTCCGTCTATTACGTGAAGCAAAAACTTTGTATCCCTTTTTACGAAAATTGCGCGGACGGAAGAGTGTGAAATTTTCCACTTATAGAGAATATAGAGAAGAAGTGCACAATGCTAATTTTTTTTTTAAATAATGCATAAAAGATACATTAAATCAATAAAGAAAACATTACATACACTACATACCATGTATTTGACGCACACACGCATGCATACTATTTATTGTCAAACTTTTGTTCTTTACGTCTGTTGTCAAATTGAGATTACATGAAATATTGTTTGTCTTTGTTAATATTTTTTATAGTGTAGTCTTGGCGAAATTTATGATTATAGAAGTATAAAATACAATCATAATAGTGTACAAACTTATAATCCCAATTAATTATAGTCGAATTTCGACTACTGCGGGACCTCTAGTATATATAAAAATGAATTGCTGTTCGTTAGTCTTGCTAAAACTAACGGCTGGACCGATTTGGCTAATTTTGGTCTTGAATTATTTGTGGAAGTCCAGAGAAGGTTTAAAAGGTGAGAAAATATAAAAATGCTAGGAATTAAATAAAAATAATAATTTTGTTTTTCCTTTGATGTGTCGGTCTTTTATTTATCGATTGAGGCACTACGAAGTCTGCCAGGTCAGCTAGTATTAAATAAATACGTGCTCCTCTTTTAAATAATTCACTAGGTAAGTAAAGATATCGAAATATAGATCGGAAAATATTTACCTAACGGATGTTCCTGTAATATCTCACTATCAATATTACCGGTGGTAGGACCTTTTGTGAGCCCGCGCGGGTGGGTACCACCACCCTGCCTATTTCTGCCGTGAAGCAGTAATGCGTTTCGGTTTGAAGGATGGGGCAGCCGTTGTAACTATACTGAGACCTTAGAACTTATATCTCAAGGTGGGTGGCGCATTTACGTTGTAGATGTCTATGGGCTCCAGTAACCACTTAACACCAGATGGGCTGTGAGCTCGTCCAACCATCTAAGCAATAAAAAAATAATCTCAATGATAAGATTTAGGATGCATTATGTGAGTTATAAAAATAAAAATATTTCTGTTTTTTTTATGGTTATTGTTATAAATAAAATTTATTAAGGTTTTTTGTTTTGTTTTTTAGTGCTAATATTAAATAGGGTCATGTTCTTGTTTTAATAATTCACTAAGTGAGCTTTGCTCCTCCCCCCTCCCTCCTTCAGTTTATCGCTCATTGCTGTGCATCGTGATGCGTCCGCCTGTGACCTGTTTTGGTAATTTGTAGAGCTTTACTAAAAGCTTTTTACTAAAGCTTTACTAAAGACATCGAAACATAGGTTAGAAAAATTTGGCGTGTTAGACGTTCCTGCAATATCTCAATGATGAGATTTAGGATGCCTTTTGCAAGGTATAAAAATAAAAACAATACTTTTTAGGTTTTTTAATGACTGAACTAACCTGCCCTGATATCACGTCCGTGGAGTACAAAAACTTGCAAGGTAAATTGATCATACCCTGTGATCATATATGAACCCTATCCTACCCGTAAATACGGAATGCATAACGGCTTCGCGCCAAAAATAAACAAGATGTCTACTAGTGCCTATCTATGCGGGCTGACGATACGCCCAAGAAATGCCATTGATGATCCCTTTTTTTTTTGATAGCCTTGAGAGGCTTTGTCAGCGTAACCTTACAAGTAGGTGAGCTCACCGGGGCTCAAGCCTGACGACGTTACTAACACTATGCCTAGCAAGAGCAGCGCTTCGCAGAATCACAAGAGAAGCACAAAGACTCACAAGAGATCCTACCACCAGTAATCATAGTGAGCTTTTTCCTCCCCCAACTTATTTACTGTTAGCCTAAGCCCGAACGTGTAGGTGAGCTCACGGGCTCAATCTAATAGAATTTCTTAACACGAACCCTAGCAAGTGCAGTGCTTCGCAGAATCTACCACCGGATCGGAAACGCGACCCACTGAGAAGATCCGCCGAGAAACTCAGTGGGCTGACGATCGCATTGACGGACTTGAGACATTTTATGCCGTTTTCTACCACAAACACGGAGAGAAGAAGGGCGGTTTTAATCTAGATGAGACAGCCACTGCTACCACCGAAGGGGGAGCATTAGTAGAGGACACAGCAGGCCAGGGTACCCCTTATTTCTGAGTCGCCGTTGGACCAATTTTTAAGACCAAGATCTTATGACCTAGTTACGTGTTCCAACTAATTTTATCCCTTATTATTTTCGCCAACAAAGTCGAACCACTCTAAGGGATGTTTGGTGGAGTGCGATTGCCATCCCTGTTGGACGCTGGTCATGAGTTAAGTTATATATAGATAAGACAGTTAAAATGACAAAAACCAAAAATATCTTGTGATTACTGTGTATTCTTCTTAATCAGATGCTAATTTTAGACAAAACGTCAGCGTCTACAGGCCGGTCAAGTTTGACAGAGACCAAACCGCTAACGTAAACTATCTACCGACAACGCGTTGGTCCAACACGTCATGTGGACAAAACTGGTAATGTGGGACCAATCAGTTCTTCCATTGAACGATGTTGGCTGATGTTTGAAGCGATATTGAAAAGTTGAACAAGTGATACGCCAATACGTATCGCCAATATAACAAACTTTGCAATAAATCATGGTAAAGTTTCTTAATACGGTATAAGAGATAGGATTGTACCATGTATAGTGAAGGGAGTGATTGGAGGTATTAATACTATAGTCCCGCCTATTTCTGTTATGATATAATAATATGTGATCCGTATCGACAAACCATGTGTGGTTAACCGTGAGCTTATTTATGATTAATTAAGCCCGGCAAAGCTTTACCGCGACTTATTACTTATTTACTTTTATTATATCTTATATTTATTTCCGTTATCTGGTACCCGTAACACAAGTTCTTTACGAACTTATCACGGGACTAGTTAATGTGGCGTGACTGTTAGTAAATATTTATTATTATTTATTTATTTAATATGCAAAATGAACTTTCATGTTCGGATGTGGCTGCATTATTAGACGAACATTATTAGCAAAAAAAACCACTCCGAAGAAAAATATGTTTTTAAATGAAAATAAAGTTTTTATAGTTTTTTCTTTTTTTTTTCACCTATGAAATACTTACAAAGTGTACTCTTTTTGAACAAAAAAATACTTGGTCACGTTATAATAACTTCCAACCCACTGAGTTACTTGCCGATCTTCTTAGGGGGTCGCGATTCCGATCTGGTGGTGGATTCAGCTAAGCACCGCTCTTGCTAGGGAGCTAGTGTTAGCAATATTCTCAGGTTGAGCCCGTGAGCTCACCTACCGATCCGCGTGAAGTTGGAATGGCCCCGAAGATACCAATGATTAGGTCGGAAAAAAAACCTCTATTTTAATCGGATTTTGTTTACGACTCTGGCAAACCTCAAGATACGATTAGTTCGGTCTGCGTCAAAAGTAAAGTTCTAGAAATATTTTTTATACAAAAATCGACTGTAGTTAGCACAATATTCAACCGTCATTAGTCGGCCGCGACAAAGAAAACTACGGAGTATCAGACAAACAGACCTTCCATTTATACAATTTTTGTTAATCTAATAAGATTACCACCATTCAACTTCGTACCAACAAAATTCCAATTGGTTTCAAAGACATATCTTCAAAACATATTGTCTATATTTACTAGACTTTTTCTAAATACTATCCAACCATAAGAAAAGAGTAGATTAAAAAAAAAATTATAACGGTAAGACTTTTTTATGTATAATTGAAATAGCTGTATTCTAAAAACGTTATATTAAATAGAGATGTCTCTAAAATGAACTATGACACACTGCTATTTTTATTAAGCACTAACTAATGAATATTCAAGCAGTCTCCTTATGCGTTACAGCACTAGAAGGTGCCAGCTCTTAACTTCTGTTATATGCATGTTGTAGTCAAAATTGATTTTTAATATTAATACGAAATGGCCAGGCCAGGAATGAAATTAGAAAATAATAAGAAAGCGGCAGTCTCTCAACATGTAGTTTGATTTATAAGAAAAAGTCAAGGTGTATTTATACAAAAAGATATGTATATATTCACATTTTTAATATATTTAAATATTTCTGGATACTTTAGATATTCATCATTTTTAGAATAAATCTAATTCATTTCAGTATGTACCTTATTTTTATACCTAATTGGATGGGTAATATGTAATTTGTTGAATAGGTAAAGATCTTAGGACAATCTTGACAAAAAAAGTTTGACGATTTTTTCCCCTACTAAATTCACTTTTTTTTTATTGCCCTTGTAGGCACGTCTGCCTGCACGTATGCTCGTTAGCATACGGCCCACCCGATGGTGAGTGGTTACCGTCGCCCATGGACTTCAGCAATGCCAGGGGCAGAGCCAAGCCGCTGCCTACCGGTACCTCACCGGTACCTCGGAAGCCTAAGGGGTTTTTCCAACTACGCCTGAATGGGACAAAATAATGATTATTAAATGAAAACAATACGCCTCTTTATTTAAGCCGAAATTTATATATCATTTTAACTATTACTGTCAGTCCTGAAGGCGTGAAAGAAATACGCGGAAATACTTTTTGAGATCATTTTTCGGAACGATTTTGAGGTACAAGTTCACTACGCGGAACGAGATTAGGTTAATGAGTTCACCTAACGTGAGCGATAATTTGCTGAGCTACTGCGCTTGCGATTTCCTCCACGTGGAAACTTTTTTTTTTATTTGCCTACCTATTGCTAGAAACCTCCAAGGAGTTATGTAGCGCAAATTAGGGCGATTCTGAAAACTAGTTAATAACGCCTTCTATCTCGATCACTACTTACTGTAAATGCACGTGTATAGATAAATAAATAGTAGAGGACGACAGAGCTTTGCCCGCTTTTTTTTTTTTTGATAATTTGTGTTTTTTAGAAATTATATTTAAATACGAATTACATATTGATTTTTTTTTTATTGCTTAGATGGTTGGACGCGCTCACAACCCACCTGGTGTTAAGTGGTTACTGGAGCCCATAGACATTTATAACGTAAATGCGCCACCCACCTCGAAATATAAGTTCTAAGATCTCAGTATAGTTACAACCCTTCAAAACGAAACGCATTACTGCTTCACGGCAGAAATAGGCAGGGCGATGATACCTATCCGCGCGGACTCAGAAGAGGTCCTACCACCAGTAATTACGCAAATTATAAAATTGCAGGTTTGATTTTTATTACACGATGTTATTCCTTCACCGTGGAAGTCAATCGTGAACATTTGTTGAGTACGTATTTCAATAGAAAAATTGGTACCCGCCTGGGATTCGAACACCGGTACATCGCTCAACACGAATACACCGGACGTCTTATCCTTTAGGCCACGACGACTTCAAAACTATATTATTTATTATTTTCTTTCAATAAAAAAAAAAGTTTATGTTTAAGTTGATTATCGATAAAGTTGATTATTGAAAACACGAATAAAACAACATTTTCTGAAAATTAATCGTAGCTAGATCGATTTATCGCCCCCGAAATCCCCTGTGTACTAAATTTTATGAAAATCGTTGGAGCCGTTTCCGAGATTCAGATTATATGCATATTTATTTATATACAAGAATTGCTCGTTTAAAGAATAAGATTTAAAAAAATTATACTTAAATATTTTTTTTAAGATAAAAAACATCAATAATTTTAAAACCTATAATTTTATTTTTACAAAACACCAAAGGCCTACAATACATGTTCACACATGATGGGTTTGACGTTCTAATCCAGGGGTTCTAAAACTTTTTTTTGTCTATTACTTATTAAAATTTATTTTGCCCACTTTGAGAACTAATTATTTTTTGGCGTCCCTCTATTTTTTCATCTACTTAAAAATCACTATAGCAAGAGCTCAGTCGGTGTCTAAGAGTCCTCCTAGATGAAATTACAAATCGCCTTATCTATCCTATCCTTATCTAGCCTATCTTACCGCCCTTTAGGCCTGCAGCACCCACAAGGGGGCATTATCCACTTTGGGAAAGGCTGTTCTAATCCATTTGCCCTGACTATGACACAAATAACTGTATCTAATATTTCTCAGGCAAATAAAAAAAAAAAATTTTAATAGGCAACAAAATGTTATCAGTTATTTTATAGTTTAACTAATTAAAATAATAATAATAAATAATAAAAAGAAATGTCTCACTAAGCACAATTATTTGCTTTTATAATAAAAATACATTTAGAATTTTACTTAATTAACATAGCAGAGATCCCTCTGAGAATGCCTTAGTCAGACTTTTTGTAATTTCATATAATTTTTTCAGCTATACATCATATTGTTTATTAATATTGAGTTTTCTTTTAAAAACATGCTCCCCTGATCACCAACTAACCGAGGACAACCTAGATTTTTTTAATGTCAGCAGATGAGTAAATGGATGCTGTTACATTTCTGTTCTCAAATTCCACTATGTACATAAAAAAATTAGGATTACAAAGAGAATGTCGTTAGCTTTTAGTTTTGTTTTTTATTTTGATTATTTAAGAAATTGTACGAACAATAGTCTTTATGTTCAGTATATTAATATTGTTAACTAATTATTTAATTTGCTTAGAACAAACTACAATTTTGGGTGTGAAGAGATTACAAACATATGTAATTAGCAGAGTCAGTCTTTATGAAACTAAGCGGTAGTACTAAAGTAAGCTCACAACTAGAGACTAGAGTAGCAAAGTTTGTATTGTAGCCTTATTAGAGTAAATCAATTCCAACTGGATTCAGAATTTCATTTCTACTAATCATTTTTCATAATTTTCTTTATTTTACAGGAATCCAATTGGATAGTTTTTTTTTTTTCAGAGTAATCCAGGATATTGTGGTACTTATAAACGTGGTAAAGTACTTTTTTAGGCTACCTAATGCACATATATGTTTGATTTTACTTTTTTCTCTTAAAAACCTCAGACTTCTTAAGATGTTTCTCGAAACACATTTTTGAATTAGGAATCATTGAATAATTAGGTATTATTAATTATCAGATCGCACGCTTCTGTATGATGTAATCCGAGTGACCTTCACCGGACGTGAGGTTTGAAAAGCATACAGTTTTCATTTAAAATTTCATAAAATAATTTTGGAACAAGCTGAAACAATAGGCCATGTGTGCACAGCCTGAAAAGGTGTACACGTAGAAGAGACTGGCGTAGTTACTATGCAATACGTCACCGCATTAAAAATATCGGATTAGGTGCTAATAAAATGTATAAGAAATTAAGTTGAGAATGTATATAGATCTTCAGATTTATAATACACACGGTTAAAAAGAGAGTGGCGTAATAATTCTTCGTTGCCATGTGGACGAACAAAGGGAAATTTCACAACGGAAATTTGGCAAATTTTTTTTTGCAACGATGAGGTCATCGGTACGAATATCACATGATTTAGTATACTCACGGGCATTTTTGTGGACTCCGAAGCTCCGGCACAGATTCTAAAGACTTAAATATAGATTTAATTACGTTTTAGCTTTTGTTTGAGATATAATGCGAAAAATCAATAATCGCGACCTAGTTTGTTACACTGTTCCTTTACGACGGGACATGCGGAATGGAAATGGATTTGGTGTTGCCAGCTAATACAAACGGAAAATTTCGAAACAGGAAATAAAAGTATCGAAAAAAGCTAATGAAATTCGTTCACTTGAGAAAATGCTACAATTCTACTATATTATTTGAAGTAGGTAGTCAAATTCTTACTCAGTTTTTGTCTCAATTCCTATTAATTAACCAATACGCTGTGTGTTTTGGCTACAAAGGCGACATGTTTTATTGCGATGGTCTGTTTTTACCTATTAACAGTACAGTACATTTGTCACGTCACAGTTTCGGTATGAAATGGTCTCTAAAACATCTGAATAAGATCAATGTGACTAAATATATAATGAAGACGCAACGAACCGAAGAAGAAATAAGACAAAGAGGACCGGAAAGTGACAAAGAGATCTCAAGGGGCGAAGTGTAATGCAATTGTGTACCCAGCCCCTAAAGTATACTTGACTCTTGTTCTTTCATTACCCATTCCACAACTCCCCTCCATGTGTTTCTATCTTCGGCAGTTCTAAGTACCTGAAGGTATAAGCATGCAGTGTTGTGTCGTCTGTGTATCGTGAGCTACTGAATCTTTTTTTTCTTGTGAGCCTAATGAAGCACACTTATAATTGAAAGTATTTAACTAGATATACACACATACATATAACGTAGAAACCATCATTACAGTATGTACCTTAAAACTGTAGTGTTGGAGTAACAAAGTACATATATTATCAGTATTCTGTTATTAAAAAAATACCGAAATGCCTGAAACATTGTCAAGGTGCTGTTTTAACAAAAAGAAAATTAATTTAGAAAAATTAGATCATAACAGATCTTTTTATTTTTATGACTCTATTTTGGTTAGGTATCTTCGAAAAATATTTTGGTATTTTGGTGATTTTCAGATATTATAGAATAAGAGATGAAAGTTTAATTTTTATATTTTTTCAGAACGGAATTAATGAAAGTCTTGAAGTTTCAATTTAAAAAAAAAACCAATGAGGCCGCTTTGCATTTGTTTTAATTTATTATTATATTGGTGTACAATAACTATACTCTTTCCGCTCTCACGTTTGAAAAATAATTTCCAAGCCGACGACTCTAGCTTGAAACATTGTGCTAATTTAAATTTGAAATACTCGAATGTCTCTTTATTATCAACAGTCATAAATAAAATTTTCAACAATAATTATTGTAATGTTTTTCATCGTATGATAGTTGATAATTGTTTTGTTTTGTCACAAAAACTAAAGCGTATAAATGGTCATACATCATCAGAAATTAAAACAAGAAACAAAATATCATTCTAAATTATTTTTTCAAAGGCATCTCTGCTTACGTAAAATAATTGATAAAACCGATTTAGTTCTTTCAAAGACAACTTTAAATATGTATTTGTTAGATCTAGGTCTGTTATCTTTACGATTAATTAGTCTTGACTAAAAGTAAAAAAAGCAAATTATTAAGCTTTTATTTTATTTTATTTATTATACACACAAGATTAGGTAATGAGCACACTCACAAGCTAAAAAGATACATAAAAAACACAATTAAAAAGAAACAAATTCTGGCTTGCAACATAAGCCATGTGCGCATAACGCATATTAAGTATATTAATGTCAAGTTCAGTGGACTTTTTGGCGGAAACGCGACGTTGTGTGAATTGTTTTATTTTGTCTGTTTATTGTTTTTTCAGGTTTACATGTGTGTTAACGGTTGTTTATTAACTGTTTTGTATCTGTGAAAGTGCACAAATGTAGACAAATGAAACAAAGCCGCTGAACGTCTCCGAAAAGTCCACTGAAAAAATCTTAGTAAATAACCACCATTTTACTGAGATTATATTTCATCCCATATCATCTGATCTTATTTAATTTGATGCCAATCGATTAATGTTCCAAATTAGTCCATTTCATCTTATTTCATTTCATAATATCATTTCTGATAGGTATATATATAAAAAAAAAAAATTATGCTGTATAGTATGATCCATTTGCCTTTCTAGTTGGAAAAATAGAACTACTACTGTCAAACTCAAACTCAAACAAAAGTCAAAGTCAGTCGAAGTCGAAACCTTGACGTCAAATTCATGCGATGTTTATTTTTTGTTTAAATAATAATACACAAATTCCCATGGCTCTCGCACTTCTAAACTCTGCAATAAAAATAATAGATTTAAATTAAGTAGCTCTGTATATAAAAATGTCCACCGGATATGATGAGAGGTCTAGCCATATTGAGAAAGATGACGTTGGCGAATGCCTGACCTTAGGAAATGAAGAAAAAACTATTGAAAACAATTTGGAAACCAAAAATTCATGCGCGGATTGCTTCGAGGCTTACCCTGGTACCTGTTCCACCACAGATAATCAAATAATTTCTTCTTACAATGATTCTCCAAACGAAAATTTGGTGCAAGGTGAAAGTTCTAAATGTAGGACGAATAGCTATGAAAATTGCACAGCTAGTGATACAAACTGCGATTCAGGCTTAGATACAATGGATTCTGCTTTCCCCATATCCGATTCGGAAACTGACGTCACCCCATTGGTAAACTTAAGCTCGGATGGCTCACCAAATAGCCTAAATAAGTCCAACGCAGTTACTGACAGTAATTCTTCTAGCCCGGCTCCATCAGAAGAAAATGTTGCTAAGGAGACAATTAAGTATAATTATGAAACCAATGAAACTAATTCATGTAATAAAACCAAAGATATAACGACAAATAGTAGTACACAATCCTTACAAACGTTGCTGAATAATACGGATATAGGTAATATCAATCATAGCTTAACAGTATCTACAGTTAGCCTGAACGGACATGACTCTGTTGACAGAATCGCTAACGTGTCACTGCTTAGTCGCAGTTGCGACAATCTTACAAAATACAATGATGACGACTCTAAAACAAACACCAGGAATGAAGACTTGATAAATGCCGATAGAATATTATCAGAGTTTTCTGATCAAAAAACCAAAGCCACCGCAGTGCAGAAAATACCAGAAACTGGGACGAATACACATCCACGGCTACAAAAAGAAATACTAAACCAAGATGTGGGTAGCATAGTTAAGAATGTTCAGGGAATCTTCTCTTCAGTCAGTGGGAGTCTGAAATATGCCTACGGATACCGTACACCAAAACCGGTAAAATCAGTGAAACCTATACCGAATGGTAAAATAATGAGTGAAATATTTGAGGATGAAGTGGAGTCTATTGACGTCAAATCAACTGAGAATCCTACAAAATCAGTTGATGTTAAATCTGTTGATACAAGTGACTTAGGTACCCTGAGAACTAAAATGGAAATTCTAGAAAGAGTCTTAGTGGAGCAGAGAGACGAAAATGCATTGTTGAAGGATCGCCTTAGACAGCAACGCGACGAAACAAATCGAAAGGATAATGCTTTCAAGGAGTTGGAAGCAAAAATGGATCTGGTAAATGTTATTATTACTCTTATTAAATATCACTGATGCTATTTAGGTACAATTTATATTTTACCTTTATTTGTTTTCTTATCAACAAAATTGGAGGAATCATTGGAGGAAGCTGGTGCAAAAACTGGACCAAGGTGGTCACGACCCTCAGTAATGAGGAAACGACAAAGAAGAAGAAGAAGAAGAATCAACAAAAATCCTGAGAACTTTGAAAATTCTAGTTAAAAATAATAATGTAACTTATCTTCTCAATGTCTTTAGTTCTGTTAGTACAATGAATCTTAGTTAGGTGCTATACTATGTTGACTTGGTACCTTCATATTCCATAATATACTTAGGTATCTTTAAAATGTCCCAAAACACGAAGCATTCATAATTGGTAGTGAAATTGCATTATTATGGAATAGTATTCTTTTTCAAAACTTAGACAGCTACTTCATCCATTCCTGCTCTGGATACCTGGCAGTCACTTGAGCCCACACTCTCCACCTTCAATATGACTGCATAGTACGAGATTCAGAGGAAACTGTTGCTTTTCTTTCTTTGTCGTATCACTCTTGTCAGAGCGGTCGTGGTCGTCTTTCGGTATCATTGGTGTGGGCAGATGTTATGCGCCTCACGAGCAATCGCCACTTCTCCCGGCTTGTGGTAATTTTGAAGTCGTCGTGGCCTAACGGATAAGACGTCCGGTGCATTCGTATTGAGCGATGCACCGGTGTTCGAATCCCGCAGGCGGGTACCAATTTTTCTAATGAAATACGTACTCAACAAATGTTCACGATTGATTTCCACGGTGAAGGAATAACATCGTGTAATAAAAATGAAACCCGCAAAATTATAATTTGCGTAATTACTGGTGGTAGGACCTCTTGTGAGTCCGCACGGGTAGGTACCACCACCCTGCCTATTTCTGCCGTGAAGCAGTAATGCGTTTCGGTTTGAAGGGTGGGGCAGCCGTTGTAACTGTAACTATAATTGAGACCCTTAGAACTTATATCTCAAGATGGGTGGCGCATTTACGTTGTAGATGTCTATGGGCTCCAGTAACCACTTAACACCAGGTGGGCTGTGAGCTCGTNAAATAAAAAAAAAAAAAAAAAGCCTGGTACACTCACGCAAACAACTGTCAACTGCCGATTTGACTTGGTCTCGCTATCAGGGATCAAATTACAGCGGTCTTGACTCAATAGAACTTTTGTTGGAATTTAGTGTTACTGCATAGGGCCCATTCACATTGTGTTTCGTGATTCCCATCATGCGAGGCTACATTAACATGAGCATTGCAGGGAGTACTATCAAATAAGGTTTCCGAAGAGTTATTCATTGGCGTTATTGTCGACTGTAATCACTGACCACTAAAAACGTTTCTGGATCACATTTTCTTCGACTGCCCCAATACCGTATCCCCTCTTTATGATATCCTTCCCAATTAAATTCCCCGGCCTATTAATATTAATTGGTTATTAACTTTATTCTATTCTAAACATGTAAATATTCTGTGTAAATTTTTATCTGCTAATAATATTTATCTCTAAAGTAGTTATATTTGTTTGTGCTGCTCTTAAAACCATTTGCGTATGGAAAAACTGAACAAATTTATTTGTATTTAGATTTAGTAATTCATTTTTGTAAATACTTTGACATTGGCAAAATCAATGCCAAAGGCGTTGGAGCCAAACTATTTATAAAAAAAAAAACCCATTGTAAACCTTAATACTGCTTGACTCTCCAGCTATCGAAGCGTCTAGAACAAGCCGACCGCGAAAAGGATGCGGCCGTAATGCGCTACGCCAGCGTTGAATGCGCTCACATAGAGGCGAAACGTGCAGCCGAAAAAGCAGCCAAAAGCGAGAAGTGTGCCCTAAACGAAGTGGAGTTGCTCAACAATAAACTCAGGTCCGCGGCCGGTGAAAAGACCAGGATATGTCAGCTCTATGATGATAAGGTCAGTATTAGAGATTAGGGGAATATTAGTGTTAGTTGTGGGCTGCTTTCTTTGCCTACCTTTGACTGGTGATCTCACGGGGCTCACCCCGAGAAAGGCTGATAACATCTGCCCAAGGAACCAAATAAGAGTAGTTTAAATAACCAGGAAGGAAAAATCAAGGAAGTTAAAAGAGTGATTCGTGAAATTCGTGTTTCACTGTTTGTTTAAACATTTGTAATTATTTTTTTATTACTTAAGTGGATGGACGAGCTCACGGCCCACCTGATGTTGAGCGGTTACTGGAGCCCATAGACATCTACAACGTAAATGCCGTCACATACCTTGAGATATAAGTTCTAAGGTCTCGGTATAGTTACAACAGCTGCCCCACTCTTCAAACCGAAACGCATTACTGCTTCACGGCAGAACAAGGCAGGGTGGTCGTACCTACCCGTGCGGACTCAGAAGATGTCCTACCACCAGTAAGAAGTAAGTATATTAACTCAAAAATGAATTTGAAAAAGTTGTCCCTAATTTGTTTTCTGAGTGAGCGACTTCAATCTATGATTTTAATTAATATCGACCGGTCTGTACGTGTATATAAATAAACGGTAGGTAGACATGATAAACGCTTTAAATTATAGAAAGCAAGGAAGCCCACTTCATACTATGCATGTTGACAGACAAGATACAATATTGGTACGTGCTGGGGTTTGGGATAAATAAAAATTCTACCAAAGTGTAAATTAAAACTGTATTAACACTTAGAATACTTTACAACTCGTAATTCACTTCTTCCGCTTCGCTTCAGGTGATCCGTTCGCTGTTTCGCTTCGAATAGTTCCGATTACTAACTGTTTTCGTGTCATCTCTGCAAAGCTTTTATAGTCGAGACGACATTCCTAGAATTATCGAAAACAGCCCTGACAAGTCGAGTGTTGTGTGTTTCCGCTATTTGACAATAGATGGCGGTGTATTTCTTGAGCTTTCTCAATTTTACTAGTCCTTTTGATATTCGTTTCTGCTATTCAGCGATAGATGGCGTAACGATACTATTACTTAAACTTAAAATTATCCCATGGTTACAGGTGCCCAACTTTATGCGTTAATGTTTTCAGTGTCATGAGGTCCAGAAAAACGAGAGACAAGTTTCGAAGTTACGCGAAGACCTACGGGAGCTCGAGGGTCGATTGAAGTGGACTCAGAGTAAGCTTCGTATGGAGATGGACGCGTACAGGGTGAGTTCTGGGGGAGGCGAACGATTCGACGCCCAAACAGCCAATAGAATCCTGAACACTATTGGTAAGGTGTAGTCTGTCATGCAGTCGTTATGCAAGTGCAAGCGAAAAAGAGAACGCAATCGGAGCCGGTCGGCTGTGCGAGCGAGAAAGAGTACGCCAAGCAGCCGGTCGACTTATTACTGGTGGTAGGACCTCTTGTAAGTCCGCACGGGTAGGTACCACCACTCCGCCTATTTCTGCCGTGAAGCAGTAATTCGTTTCGCTTTGACGGGCGGGGTAGCCGTTGTAACTATACTGAGACCTTAGGACTCACATCTCAAAGTGGGTGGCGGCCTTTACGTTGTATATGTCTATGGGTTCTAGTAACCACTTAACACCAGGTGGGCTGTGAGCTCGTCCACCCATTCAAGCAATAAGCAAAAAGACATAAGAAACAAATAAATTATTGCTACCTACCCTTGCGGACTTACAAGACGTCCTACCACCATGTGAGGGATACCGAGACGCGCATCACACAGGTGAACGAAGTAGCTTTTCATGGGTTTTTTTTTCGGCGTCTCGAATTGCAGGAAAGCTCCGAACGCGCTGAGAAGCTTTCGGCGCAGGTGTCGGAATTGGAGGCCGCCAAGGGAGCAGCCGCGGCCCAGGCCACTGATTCCATCAGAGCGAAACATCTTGGTATGCTTTATAATTTGGTATATCGGTATTTATAATGTAAGCAGTCGTCGCGCCCTGAATTAAGACGGCCGGAGTACTCGTATTGAGCGACGCAAGTGTAATATTAATATTTTATTACTATATTCTTAATTTTTTTTTGGTGTTTTTTTTTTAAACTGTATATTACGGATATAGGCTGGTGGTATAGTGTTTTTAATGTGATGACTTTATTGACTCTGACGTCATTCTCTTCCTCATTAAACACTCTCTTACCAACCTCATTTTCATTTCGTCTTATCACATGTCCGTACCATCCCAAACGCGCACTTCTCAGCTTCTTTGTCACAGGTGCCACTTTCAGACTTCCTCTATAACATATTCATTCCGTATTCTATCCATTCTTGTTACTCCACACATTCATTGCAACATTCGCATCTCTGCTGTATGCAATCACTTTTCATCACGCAATATTGAACCTTAATACTGTACGTCACAGAGACCGAATTGAAAGAGAGCCAGGCGGCCCTGATCCTCTGCAGACACGAAAAGGACGAACTCGAGAAGAGATTGTCGACGATGAGGACACAACTGGACATTTGCTCGAGGGAGCGAGAGGCCGCTATCGATTCTCTCGCTCGCACCAGCGCCGAGGTAATTCAAGTTTTTGATGGTTTTTTTTAGAGTTTCTAGTATTGGGCCCATGGAATGAAATAAATTCCAGCTGGAGCCAACGGAATCTTTAAGAGGTAGTTATCTGTAGAAGCTTATTTGGAAGTCAGCAGTAAATTGCTGTCTTACACTACGGTAGCTAGGGAGGAGAGCAGAGGACGTTGTCCAGAATACTAGAAAATACAGAGGGACTTCGGTTCCCTCTGTATTTTTTACCGTATGTTCCATGAGGAGTGCTCTGAGGAATTGTTTGAGATGATATCGAGATGTCGACAGTGCGTTTCCAGAGATATTTTTTGCCACGTAACATCCTGCTTTGGAATGAGCTCCCGTCCACGGTGTTTCCCAAACGTTATGACATGTCCTTCTTCAAACGAGGCTTGTGGAGAGTATTAAGCGGTAGGCAGCGGCCTGACTCTGCCCCTGGCATTGCTGAAGTCCACGGGCGACGGTAACCACTCACCACCACGTGGACCGTATTGGCGTGGCGAAGGCCACTGAGGGATTCCCCGGAGAGTGGCAGTGTTCCCTGAATATAATACCGGGTTATAGTAGTAGGGGGTGTTTGGGGGCTTGGAGAGGGGATCAGACATCGAAAGAAAAGCCTTATTTTTTATTGCTTAGATGGGTGGACGAGCTCACAGCCCACCTGGTGTAAATGGTTACTGGAGCCCATGGACATCTACAACGTAAATGCGCCACCCCTTTAACCCACGCCACCCACTTTTTTTTAACAGGTGACGGTTTTGCGCGAGAGCAAGTTACGTTTAGAGGAGGAGGCTGCCGAACTTGCAGCTTTGAGAGCTCAAGCAGCACTGGCCGATGTACTCAGCGCACAGTTGCAGAGGTGAACCACTAGTTGTGTCCTTTTCCCGCTTTACTTTAGTAAGCTAGATAAGAGAGAGAGATGGATGTATGTTTAGATAGTACAAACAAGTTGAATGATGCCTCGGAAACTGTTGGATCCGTATATGACCATCATGTCACGAGTCATCCACTTAATTCCACGGTTCAACCCTACGATATTTTTTCTGTGTTCTTATAACAGCATTGGAAAAGGTCACCTTACACGAATGACGTCATAATTCGCTACAGGGTGTTCTCTAGTATGCACGAATTTTAAATTTTTTTTTTTTTATTATTTACTTTTTTTACTAAGTTGGTTTCAAACACGTATAGGAGGCTTCTACAGCAGAGTCATTTAAAGTTTAAAATTTGAAAAAAAAAACCAAATAAAAACTTTTTCAGCTATTTAAATGGAGTGAACTTAACTGAAGCTAAATTAAAAACATTGAACCGTTGTTTTTTATTATTTTATTGCTTAGGTGTGTGGACGAGCTCACAGCCCACCTGGTGTTAAGTGGTTACCGGAGCCCATAGACATCTACAGCGTAAATGCGCCACCCACTTTGAGATATAAGTTCTAAGCTCTCAGTATAGTTACAACGGCTGCCCCGCCCTTCAAACCGAAACGCATTACTGTTCATCACGGCAGAACTAGGGTGGTGGTACCTACCCGTGCAGACTGTACAACAAAATCCTACAAGATGTTCAGAACCTACATATACATAGGTTTAAGAAAACTATCTGTGCTGAAGAACATCTGTGCAATAAAGCTTATTATAAAGTCAATGATTATCTAGAAGATTGCACCAAGTGGGAATGAGTTGCTTGCTCTGGGCATTTCAATATTGCAATAATTGTTACGAATTGTAAAAATGAATATTTAAAAAAAAACCTGATCTTAAAAAAAAACTAATATTTAAAGAAAAAGCCATGCCCGCTGAGTTTCTTGCCAGTTCTTCTCAGGACGGAGGCTAGTTTTTGTGAATTGGCGGTAGTTCTTTTTAACGTTCAACAAGTGTGTAGAGAGAGAGGCTTGTGGAGAGTATTAAGCGGTAGGCAGCGGCTTGGCTCTGCCCTTGGCATTGCTGAAGTCCATGGGCGACGGTAACCACTCACCATCAGGTGGGCGGTATGCTCGTCTGCCTACAAAGGCAATAAAAAATAAATAAAAAAAAACTTTCATTAATGTTGAATAATTTTTTTTGATTTGATTTGGACTCACAAGACGTCCTACCACCGGTAAGTAAGTCTGTTACACCGTCGTGTGCAGGGAGACTGTGAGGGCGGACGAGGCGGAGCACGCTCTGAGCGCGGAGAGGGCGCGGGCGGAGACGTGCGGGCGGAGGGAGGCCGCCGCGCTCGAGCACGCCGCCGCCCTCACGCAGCAGCACGTCGCGGAGCGGGCTGCGGCGCACAAGCATCGCGCCACGGTCGTACTACTATACTACTACCGGCGTTGCTTACTACTACCACCACTAATTAATACTACATGTACCGTTAATTACTACTACCAACACCACTATATACAATTACCATCGCTAATTACTACTACCATCACTAAGTACTACCACCGACACTACTAAATACTACTACCAACACCACTAAATACTACTACCATCGCTAATTACTACTAACAGCACCACTTAATAAAACTACCATCGCTAATTACTACTATCAACACCACTAAATACTACTACCACCACTAAATACTACTACCACCACTAAATACACAAGCACCACTAAATACTGTGGTGGGTAGCCATCATACAGCGCAAGATATTTGACAGATGCATGAATCTCGCTTATGACATTATCAAGATAAACTTGCATATATACAAGTTCCGAACAACCACCTTCGGACCGTCGGTCTGCCGAGCAATATCACCCGTTCGATGGAAGTTCTTCCTTTCGTCGTTTAAGCCTCCCGCACTAGTGACCCCGACGTGATTTAAGCCTCCCACAAATACTACTACCAGCACCACTAAATACTACTACCTACGCCAATAAATATTACTTCCACAACCACTAAATACTACTGCTACCATTAAATACTACTGCTACCACTAAATACTACTGATACCACTAAATACTACTACCACCACTAAATACTACTACCACCACTAAATACTACTACCACCACTAAGTACTACTACCAGCACCATATTTTCTAGTAATACTACTTACCACTACCACTAATTATCACGATCACCAACTCTGATTACTACCGCCAGTATTACTAACTAGTACCACTACTAATTACTACTGACAGCACTACCTATTACTGTCCCCACCCTTACTACTGCTACGTATAATAAGGAAAGTCACCATAATAGTATTGAATTTTATTAAAGTTTACTAATAACTATTCTTCATATATTAAAAATTCCATTTTGGTCGTCGAAGAGAGACAAGCTGGCAGCCCAACTGACTGTGAGTGGTCACGGCTGCTCACGGACTGAACTATCAGCTTTAATACTAAAATTAACTTAATAATCGGAAACTAATTGGTAATTTGTTGTTGTTGATTTTTTATTACAGGCTCAAGCCTTAGAACTTGATAACGCATCGCTCAGGGACCAGGTCGCCGGCTTGCGGGCGGAGTGCGAGGGTCTGCAGAGGGCCCTCGATGAGGAGATTGAGAGGAGGAACAAGGAGAACCGAGTGCTCGCCAGGAAGGTCAGTATAATTCCACATTGAACCAAGATCCTTCGGTACAATGCCATATCGAACCAAGATCCTTCGAGCGAACGATCTCCTCCTGCTATTTTGCTGGTGTTAGGGCGTCTGGTGTGACCCCACGGGTAGGCACCACAACCCTGCCCGCTTCCGCCGCCAAGCTTAAATTCAATATAGTTCGAAAGGGAAAAATAAATAATAGTCTAAAAAAAAACCATCAAAATACGCTTTTATAGAAAATCCACCTAAAAACTAGAAAATAAATTTTAATTTTAATTAAAAATAGTGTAAGAAAAAATGATTTTAATGTTAAAAAAAGCGTGGGGTGCTTTTCAGGTTAATAACGGTGGTTTATTAACTGTTTAGCATCTGTGAAAGTACACAAATGTGGGAAAATGAAACAAAGCCGCTGGACGTTACTTCTCGTGATCCTCCAAAAAGTCCAGTGACAAAGTCTCAGTAAATGACCACCATTTTACTGAGACTATATTTCATCCAATATCATCCATTTCGCTTCATTTCGTTTTTATTTCATTTCATTTTCATTTCACTTCACTGTTTCACATTAATCAACCTCCTTTCATTTCATAATATTATTTTTCATATAAAAGAGTTTTTATTAAAATAAAAATAAGACTTGACTTAAAGGTCTTAGCTACCAGGCCATAAAATCCCAAATAAATTGGTATATTGGAAAATGAAACACAGGCATTGGACGTAACTTCTTCTGTTTCGTCCAAAAAGTCCACTGAAAATGTTTCAGCAAATAACCACTATTTTACTGAGACTACCTATATTTCATCCTGTATTATTTCCTTTCATTTAATCTCATCCCAATTGATTAATTTCTCAAATTAGTCGATTTCATTTCATTTCGCTCTATATCACATTTCATAAAACAGATTATACAAAAGATTAGGCTTTATGGCGTGACACCTTCGTCTTTCCAGTTGGACTACTAATATCATGTCTTTTTTTTTTTTTTTTATAGCTTTATAAACTTTTTTAAAATATATTTATTCGTTGTTAAAATTATGAACATCATTGGATGCGCTGATGCGATCTTGCAACAATCTTCCAGGTGGCGGAACTGACGGAGGAAGTGGCAGAGACGAACAAGAAGCTGGAATGGGAGAAGGGAGAGAACGGGGTTCTGAAGAAGAAACACTCGAGTGCCATAAAGGTGAGTTCTTTTTTTTAATACGCTTTTATTAGCTTCAGACGTACAGTAGGCGCGCGAGTTCATGTCCATCCTGAGATACGGTAGTGCTGTGACCTACTTAATTATGGTAATGTCGATAATAACTACCGATTTAGTCAACAGCTGTCAATTTGGTTTAATTTAACTTAAGGTAATTTTGCAATTTATGAAATAAAATAAATGTGATAAGTAATTACTCGTTTATTTGTAATAGAGAAAAATATTTTTTTAATTCCAATTCAATCACTATCAAATGAAAAGACAACCGAAAGATCAGAGTCGGAATCAGTATGTATATTTTTTTCAGTAGGTTTTTTTTCTATCTGAACTTGTTGGAAGCGGAGTGGTCATGGTTAAATAACACAATAGTGTTAGCGTTTTCGATGTCGAAGTTTTCGATGTCGATAAGCGCGCGTCACAACCGTCAAGGACAACACTCGAGGTCAGACGAATGCGGGGGGCGGGCGAAGGCGGGGCGAGCTGTCCCCCGCGCGTCGCCTCTGGCCCCGATGGACATGAACTCGCGCCCATACAGTATATATCGGAATCTTTGAACATGATTCTGTCCCTCTTCAAAACGTCGGATTAACTCAAAATTTGGTATACTTATTAAGGACCGATGAAAATATAACATTTAAAAAAAATATGAAAAAAATTGAAATTGAACTAAAAAAATGAAAAATAGTTAATAAAGTAGTTTTAAAAAAAAAACTAACAAAATACGCTTTTATAGAAAATCCAACTAAAAAATAGAAAATTAATTTTAATAAATTTGAATTAAAAATAGTGTAAAAGTGACTTTATTGTAAAAAAAAAGCGTGGGGTGCATGGTATCAGTAGTTATAAATATTTTATGAACAGATATGAGTAGAAGGGTTATTTTGATAATATCCTGAAAAGCGCCCGACGCTTTTGGTAGAGCTTTGGCTTTACACAAAATGAGAGTATTGTTACGCCGGTAAGAGCAACGCCATCTGTCGTTGAATGGCGGAAGCGAATATCAAAAGAACTAGTAAAACCGAGAACGCTCGAAAAGTACAATGCCATCTATTGTGAGATAGCGGAAACACATATCGAGACTACTCGATTTATCGACTATAAAAGCGTTGCAGAGATGGCACGCAGTCAGTCATTAATCGGAATTATTTGAAGCGAAACAGCAAACGGATCACCTGAAGCGAATTGAGAATTTAAATAGAATTTTAATTTGTTTTCGGTAGAATTTTTATTTATCCAGAACCTTAGCGCGTAATAAATAGTATGTATTTTGTTGCCAGGAAATGAATCGTGAATTGCAGCGAGCGCTGAAACGCTGTGAACAATTAGAAGCCAAAGTGAACGCCGACGCTCCATCAACGAGGACAGGTATGGAGTACAGGGTGTTCTCTTTTATAAAAAAAAGAAGAAGATTAATTTGTGGAATTGTGAAGTGGCCCGCGGTCCCGCACACCCTCATCGAAAAAGATGACGTACAGGGTGTTCTCTTTTACAGGCTCTTAGATTTTATTGGCCTTATAGGCAGACGAGCCGCCTGACGGTGTGTGGTTATCGTTGCCCATAGGCTTCAGCAATACCAGGGGCAGAACCAAGCCGCTGCCTATAGTTAAGTACTCTCCGCAAGCCTCGTTTGAAGAAGGACATGTCTTAGCGCTCGAGAAACACCGTGGAGGGGAGCTCATTCCAAAGCTGGATGTCTATGCTCACCTTGAAATAGGATCGAAGACCGATTAATTTTTGTCATGTGGCCCACGGTCCGCTCCCGATATCTTCGCACCGTCCAATCTCACATAGCAAATAATGATATACAGGGTGCTCTATTTTTGGAGCGATGATATTTGTAGCTATCGTAGCCCTTAGACATGAATGTATTCACTCACCTCGGATCATAAGGGCAAACTGTCCATTTTGTTGAATTAAGGACTGTCTCATCCTAGAAATGTGGCTGTTTCGCAGCGGAACTAGGCAAAAGACTATTCACAGTCCGTTTTTCGACATTCCAAATAATAAATAATAATAAACATTGATTCCAAATTTAAATTAAGAAAAAAATTATTGTGAGGTTTTATGAAACCACGGTAAAAGTGAAACTTTTTTTTCACATTATAGACATTTAACTCTGACAAACAACATTTACATTAAACATTGACGAAAACAAACAAAAAAATAGCGTGGAGCACTGGGCACAAATGAGTAATAGTCTATAGTATAGACTACACTACACGGTCAGCTGCTGTGAACTATAGGCGCCGCCATATTGACCTTGGCTGCTCTGACGTGCGCCTTTCACTTTATCCCTACTGACGGCCGACCGTCACGCGACATGCAACACACAGGCGAAAGAGACACAGAGAAATACACAATAACGTGTCTTGGGTCACCGGCTCAGCAAAGCCTACTCAATCGGTACTGCGGCGCTGATCTCCCGCCAGCATCTTATTCATTCATATCAGCATTATCTGAGTTTGGAAATATATATTTTGTAAACACGAGAAATGTGTTTCTCTTCCTTTAAAGGATCCGTGTCCTCGCTGACGAGCGGCGAAAGCGCACCGCAAGAAGAGAGTCTGCAGAACGGACACGCAGACAACGTTCCCGATGTCCAGGTATAATATATATATATTTAAAAAAAATCGTTATTTATGATATGAATCTGCTCTATTACTTTCTTGTTCCGTCTCCGTCCGGATACTATCGACGCACGTACAAATATAGCGCTACGTGCTCGAGACATAAGGTTCATGTTTTAAATAAAACGCAGCTTCTCGCATTCTGCTTAGTGGTACTAAATAATGACATGAAATATATATTTTTTTATAATTATTGTACGAGGAGTGTGGGTAGAAAACAGTTAATAAAAAAGTAATTTATGTAGCGCGTATTAAGGGTTAAAGTTGTATGGTTGGATGATGTAACTCAATCCATAAAGGAGTCGTGTGCTCGTCAGCCTACAATAATAGAAAAAAATAGTCTGGCTAAAAGGTCGAGTGACTGGTGAACGTAATATTTATTTAGAAAAAAACTTCGTCTCCACGCAGCCGTCCCAAATATCTCCAACCCGCTTGTTTGGTCGTTTAAATAATCTAATTACTGAACTTTGACGTCATCGCTCGCTATAGCGCTGTCTCTTTCTAACATTCTACCATATAACTCGTTGGCACAAAGAAAATGTCGTATTCTATTGAATTTCAGATAAGAAATCCGAGTTTATTTAGTAAATTCACGGTGAAGGTTAGATTATTGTATTTCTTCTAAATTAATTAACCGTAAAATAGATTAAATGTATGTGTAATAACCGGTGGTTTATTAACTGTTTTAATATCTGTGAAAGTGCACGAATGTGGAGAAATAAAATAAAGCCGCTGGACGTAACTTCTTCGGGATCCTCCAAAAAGTGCACTGAAAAAAATTCAGTAAATGACCACCATTTTACTGAGATAGTATTTCATCGAATATCATCTCGTTTCATTTAATTTCATCCCAGTTGATTAATGTCTCAAATTAATCATCTTCATTTCATTCTTCATTACTCCATATTATCATTTTTTATAAAAATAGGAATATAAATTAAAATAAGACACGACTTAAAGGTCTTAGTTTTAGTTACCCGGTCATAAAATCCTTTTAAAAAAAACTGATGAAGAGGGGGTGTGGTTTGCCGCTCACGCCATACTATGTCGCGATTCTGGTGGTAGATTCGTTGAAGCACTGCTCTTGCTATGGCTAGTGTTTGGAAATTCCAGCGGGTGTGCTCGCCTACAAGGGCATAAAAAAAAATCACGCAACTTCACTCCTCGTGTTCTCGCCAAAAACAAAAAGTCCTTCATCAGTTTTATATACGAGTGCTGTGTGGTGTGGGCGGGGTAGGTCCGTGTATGTTATATACCAGTAACGGTCTGCTGTGTGGTGTGGGCGGGGTAGGTCCGCGAGCCTGACCGGCAGGCGCTGGTGGAGCGCGTGGTGTCACTGCAGCGCGCGCTGGCCCGCCGCGCCGAGCGGGTCGACTTCCTCGAGGAGCACGCCCGTCAGCTCACCGCCGAGCTCGGAGCCAAGAGTCGCTTGCTGCGGGCGCTGCTCAACCAGCTACCGGCCGGCGCCGTCGCCTCCAGCCGCCGGGACGACAACAAGGTGAACATTCCAGAACATTTTTTTTTATTTGTTAGTTGGTTGGACGAGCTCACAGCCCACCTGGTGTTAAGTGGTTACTGGAGCCCATAGACGTCTACAACGTAAATGCGCCACCAACCTTCGAGATATAAGTTCTAAGGTTTGAGTATAGTTACAACGGCTGCCCCGCCCTTCAAACCGAAACGCATTACTGCTTCACGGCAGAAATAGGCAGGGTGGTGGTGGTACCTACCCGTGCGGACTCAGAAGAGGTCCTACCACCAGTAATTACGCAAATTGTAATTTTGCGGGTTTGATTTTTATTACACGATGTTATTCCTTCACCGTGGAAGTCAATCGTGAACATTTGTTGAGTATTTCATTCGAAGGGTGGGGCAGCCGTTGTAACTATACTGAGACCTTAGAACTTATATCTCAAGGTGGGTGGCGCATTTACGTTGTAGATGTCTATGGATGTTTGTACGTTGAAGTTATAGTTTCTTTATTAATAAAAAGTGTTTCTAATTATATTACCACCACCGTATATTATGAAAAAAATAATTTTCCATTTTGGTTTTTATGAGTTTCGATAACCACTTAAAACCAGGTGGGACATGAACTCGTCCACGGGTGTAATACCAAAAGTCTATTTATTTTTTCATGCATACATTTTCATAGCCGGCTAGAAGATTAACAAAGGTATGATTATGGTAATTATTACCGAAAATATTTAAGATTAAAATTATGTTCAATAATCTATACATATATCGTCTTCTCGCATTAAAACTGTATAATTTCAAAACTTACTCATTTTACAGGAGAGTGTTTTAAAGGTTCAGAACATGTGATATTTTTAATATTAATCATCTTTGCAACATTTATTTTTTATTTTTTACCAGTTACATTATCTGTCTTTTAAAGTAAGATAAAATTATGTACATATTAATTTTGTTAATAGTAGTCAAAACATAGGTAAACTAAAAAAAAAAAAAACTAAACTACGTTCTTTTGACAATATTTATGAAAAAAATACTGGTGATACTCATATTAACTCAATTTCGAATATTTTTGGAAATTGTACGCTTTCAATGCGAAAAGACGAGATTATGCTTAAGCGACATTTTTACAACTTTACAGGAGAGCCATTTAAAGTTTAATCATTTGGAAAAAAGATCATAAAAAAAAACTATTCGAATGGAGTAAACTTAATTGAAGTTCAATTGAAAACATTGTACTGTCGATGCTAATCTATATATATAAAAGAAAGTCGTGTTAGTTACACTATTTATAACTCAAGAACGGCTGAACTGATTTGGCTGAAAATTGCTGAAGAGGTAGCTTAGAACCAGGAGAAGGACATAGGATACTTTTTATCACATTCCCATGGAACGTGACATAAAACGTGGTATGACAAAACGCAACTGATATGGAATAACAAAACGCAACTGACAGCTAAACGTAATAAATATATTCTATGGGTAATTATAGTAGAATTTTGAAGTTAACCGGTTGATGTGTGTGAAACAAACCGTGTGGCGGAACAAAGTTCGCCGGGTCCGCTAGTACCAAATAAAACGCACCTTTAATTGAATATGCAATTTCGAAAAGGGCACATGTCGCATATTTTGTCAAATACGTTTTTTCATATACATGTAGTTTTGAGGCTTACCTACTACACCCATTTTATAATAATTCCAGTAATTTTCAATTGCTAGTTAACACTAAAATATATCTCAAAAGTTAATATTTTATATTTTACACTGCTTTAGAAAATAATCAGTTTTTTTTTTTTCCTGAACATTTTACATTTTCAGAGATGTGCCCTTTTCGAAATTGCTTATTCAATTACAAAGATAAATACGAAATATCGTATAAACCAAATAACCTTTCACCCCGCGATATGTATAATAATACTATGTCAAGAAATTACCGGGGAAAAATCAAGCAATACACATAATGTTAGTTGTTTATTCACAAATTTATTTATTTATTTATTTATGTACACACAAAAAAGAAGACATAGTACAGAGTAATAGGAAAATTATGTACAAAGGCACTGCTTATTTCTTTAAGAAATCTCTTCCAGCAGACCTGCGAGAGGATTATGAAAATAATAATTAAAAGTGATGAGTGTGTGTAGAACAGCTAAAATAACAAATACAACATGAGAATTATATTAGTGCTACACATAGCAAATATTGTTAAACTTGAATACAAAATATTTTAAGTAACACAGTATATACGAAGATTATAGAACAGTGATCATTCAGTTGATGAGAGATATAATCGTTTGACCTTGTATTTAAAAACAGAAACAGACTTGCAAACTCGGATGTCAGTCGGTAACGAATTCCACAGTCTGACCGCGTGCACAGTAAAATTTATCTTATCACCTTCTAAATAAACTTACGCGCCAAAAAATTATCTAATCATCAAAACATTTTTAAACGCTTACTCCGGAATAAAGTTCTCTCTCCGAATTCTGCCTATGTCTTCAACTGGACGGCTGCTACGCAGTGGTGATTTGAGTTTAGGAAGAAAGAAGTCGATTCAACTTTCGCCTCTAATAACATTTTTATTGGCGACGCAAAATTTTGAGAAAAACTCTTTGTACACTATAAAATTCGCAAAACACTCTAGATAATATGATTTAACGAAAAAACATCACTGTGTTTAACCTAACAACAACAGACGTAACACAAATTACGCGCCAAAATGAAAAAAAAACCAGTTGTGCCAACCTAACAACAATAACGACAGTCGCGCCAACCTTTAACAACAATAACAACAGTCGTGCCAATCCAACAACACCAAAAAAGCAGTTGTGCCAACCTAACAACAAACAAAAACAGTTATGCCAACCCAACAACACCAAACAAGCAGTTGTGCCAACCTAACAACAACAAAAAAAACAGACGTGCCAACCTAAATAACAAAACAAAAAAAAATAGTGTTAGGTACCATAAACAAATCATTTATTCCCGATACTTTTTTGACTAAATGCACTACGAGCATAAGCCGTGTTTTCAACATGTTCGTGACGTCATCGGACCCTGAACTGTCAAGTTGATAGAACGTCTTGAAGTTTTGAAAGTGTGCTATAAAAAATACGTCAAAAATCGTATTTCGCATACAGAAGGAGATAGCCCGGTTGGGTGGGGGGGCTATGGCCGCCGTCTGGGGCGGAGACCCCGGCGGTATGACCCTCGATCTGTCCCTGGAGATGAACAGGAGGCTGCAGGCCGTCTTAGAAGACACTCTGCTGAAGAACATTACGCTTAAAGTACGTATACTTGATTCCTCGGGCGCATTGGTAGTAAATCTCACTTGTCTGGATGAGATCGTTTTTAGCGATAAGACCGCCTGTACAAATGTATCTGCTTGTTGACTGTTTTCTAATGTTAATTGTGTTTTGGTGTGCAATAAATCGATCTCTCTCTCTCTCTCTCTCTCTTTTTTTATGAGCTCGCTAGGGTAAGTATAACGATCCAGCCTGTTTCTATCGCAAAGCTATCACGCAATTGTGCAACTGTATGAGTTATTGGGACTTAGACCTCAAATGTCAAGGTGGGTGGTCTTAACGTGATGATGAGACGTAACGGGCTGTGTACACACACTTATGAGAGGTGAGAGGGACGGGGTGTGTGCGAGAGAGACAAGGAGTGTGTGAGAGAGACGCAAGGTGAGTGTGAGAGAGAGGGATGTGGTGTTTGTGAGAAAGAGGGATGTGGTGTGTGTGAGAGAGAGACGGAAGATGCGTGAGAGAGAGATACGAGGTATATGTGAGAGAGACGGAATGTGTGTGAGAGAGATAGATTTAAGTTACGAAATTGCGTGTGACTAAGTGAGTGAGATTAAACAAACCTGAGGTTAAACTTTTAAAATTAATAGTATTATTTATATCCACGACTCGCGTAAATCGAAGAAAACACTGTACATATGTACATATAAAAAATCGTTGGTCGTGTGACAAAGATGTTCTTCTGTTCTAGGAGAACATGGACACCCTAGGAGCCGAGATATCAAGACTGAAAGAGCAATCCAAGCCCGGCGAACCGAAATGAAGATCACGTAAAATTTAGTTACCTCTTTACGCATAAAAACCCTCGAATTTAATAATGCAGGCGGCACTGACCCTGTATGTACCGCCACCGTCCCGCCACCCGCTCTTAAGGTGAAGGTTCGCCTTTTAAGGACAAGTTTTGATTTAAGCCGGACCGAGAAGTTATTTATAAATTTCATATAACAAATACGAACAGATAAAACCTGTAACGGTATTTATTTAGTGAAAAACGAAAGACTCTTTTATTATTATTCTTATTACTTAACGATCAACTGGAATGCTTGGTTGCTTCGCGGCAGAAATAGGCGGGGTGACGATATTTGGAGCCCGCACGCAACGCCCATTAAAACTGAATAATTTAAATCGACATTTCTCCAAACTTGTCCCCCGTGTGGTGTGAGAATACTACTTACTTCCGACCTCCTTAGGCTACGAACAAGACGTCCTGTCAAAGTGACAGCTGTCACTGATGTGACGTTGACGTGTAGCCGTAGGGTTCGGCCATAAAAAAACAAAAACCTCCTCGAACTTACTTAATTGTTATTGATTTTTGGTTTATTTCTCATGAATATTCAAACTGAAACATCTTGTACATTCCATTGATTATCGCCTTCTTAGTATTTAGAAAAAGAAAACGAAATCAAAAAAAACCTTTGTGTCGTAAGCCATTTTATTGCTGAATATATTGTCACTTATTTGGAAAATTTGCTAAAGACTTTTATGGAAAGAACGTATTTAAAAAAAATCTTTAAATTTAAAACATACAAAAAAACGGCAAAATAATTTTAAATGGTTATTTATAAAAGTTAATAAATTATTAAGAACATTATACGTGCGCGAAATAAGACACCTAATACCTATAATTGAACTGTGCAATAGTCGGTGTTCCGACGCTTCGCACTTTATGCGAATAATAGAGAGTCGATATATCGACGATTCGCGCTCTAATATTATATTACTATAAATCACCCCGGTGCCATGTTGTCAGAAGTACGGTCGCTTGCGTTGAGAATATTGATGTCTATGGATCTGCTTGTATGGGCTTAGATCCCCTTGCCTTTCCTAATAAGGAAAAATTGTACCAAAAAAATATGTCTATGGATCTATAATAGTTCACCACGGATTTGGATCGTTTTCAATTTAACGATTTAAAAAAGTAACGATTTCATGAATTTAAACTTTCTCTTATTTTCCAGTTTTTTTTTTGTATTTAGACGTGCTCAGAACAAAAAATGTTTCATCACGATCAATCAATCACTTATAATTTTGCCGGTTTGATTTTTATTACGCGATGTTATTCCTTCACCGTGAAAGTCAATCGTGAACATTTGTTGAGTACGTATTTCATTAGAAAAATTGGTACCCGCCAGCGGGATTCGAACACCGTTGCATCGCTATATACGAATGCACCGGACGTTTTATCTTTTAAGCCACGACGACTTCGATCATAAAAATCCTTCAATTATAAAAAAACAACATAAAATTTTGGGATTAACTTTCTTTTTGTCCTTTCAATCCTATTGCATCGAGACATTTAAGAGCCTGATTAATGATTAATTAAAGGGAAGCGTATAGAAATACCCAAACTTTGTTTGAGGCCGTTTGTCATTTGTCCTTTCGGTCTATTAATATTTACTATTAAAAATATATGATGGTAGAGGTCAACGTACCACGTCTAGGAATGTTTTTTTTTGTATCTTTGTAACAGCAACGTGCTGGCTTCTGTCCCGTCTATGCGTTATCTGTGCCGGGTTTTCTTTTGCTGTGGTGGACTTTTTGGCGGGAACGCGAGGACTGAAGTTGTGTGATTTCTTTTTTTTTTGTATATTTAGTGTTTCTTCAGGTTTAAATGTGTAATAACGGTGGCTTATCAACAGTTTAGTATCTGTGAAAGTGCACAAATATGGGAAAATGAAACAAAGCCGCTGAATGTAACTTCTCGGGATCCTCCAAAAAGTCCACTGAAAAAGTCTCAGTAATTGACCAACATTTTTCTGAGATTATATTTCATCTCACATCGTCTCATCTCATTTCATTTAATTTAATTTCATCGAGTTGATTAATGTCTCAAATTAAATATCTTGATTTCGTGTCATTTTTCATAAAAATAAGAATATAGATCATAATAAGACATGACTTAAATGTCTTAGTTACCAGGTCATAAAATCCCTTAAAAAAATTACTATGGTCAATGGAACGAAGCGGAACTCTCGTATTAATTAATCAAAACGTATTTGTAAAATGTAAGATATAATGTTATAATGTTGTTAATGAATAAATGAGAATGTTATTATGAATTATATTTTGAGCATTCACGGTGATTGGTTTTATTTCACGTTCACCTTATTAACCAAGATGGCGGTTTATTGTCGAACTAGGAACTGTAATGGATCTAAAAATCGTCGCAGATGATTTTCTCGACGAAAAAGAGGTCAGTCCACTTTTAATAAAAATGTTATTCGCTAGTTTTGTAATCTGTCTGCCTACTGCTAGTACGCTCAAAGGGTTATACTAGCTTCCCTGAATGTGTAGGATTTTTGTTTTATTATTTTTTATTGCCTAGATGTGCACCTGGTGTTAAGTGGTTACTGGAACCCATAGACATCTACAACGTAAGTGCGCCACACACCTTGAGATATAAGTTCTAAGGTCTCAGTATTGTTACAACGGCTGCCCCGCCCTTCAAACCGAAACGCATTACTGCTTCACGGCAGAAATAGGCGGGGCGGTGGTACTTACCCGTGCGGACTCACAAGATGTCCTACCACTAGTAATTACGCAAATTATAATTTTGCGGGTTTGATTTTTATTACACGATGTTATTCCTTCACCGTGGAAGTCAATCGTGAACAATTATTAAGTACGTATTTCATTAGAAAAATTGGTACCCGTCTGCGGGATTCGAACACCGGCGCATCGCTATGTACGAATGCACCGGACGTCTTATCCTTTAGGCCACGACGACTTGAGCTAACACTAGATTTAGCAAGAGCAGCGCTTTGCTGAATCAACAGTCGTATCGGAATCGCGACCATACCCGATCCTGTGGACCGAATGGTAAACAGTCGACGTCGCCCTACGTCATTACGGATCCTCCCGATTCACTACCGGTGCTTTTAGGTACCACAAGCACCGGTCACCGTCCTCGCCGAACCCGTCGCTGGCGACGAAGGGCTCGACGAGTGAATTAACTATAGATACAGCCCACTGAATTTCTCGCCGGATCTTCTCAGTGGGTCGCGTTTCCGATCCGGTCGTGGATTTTGCGCAGCACTGCGATTACAAGGCCCATTATCTCAAATATTAAGTGTATAATCTATGGCCCAGTGTTAGCAACATCTCCGGTTTGAGCCCCGTGAGCTCACCTACACACGTTAGCTGCTGAAATAGCCTCTCAAAGCTATCAGCATAGGCAGGCAAAAAAAAAGAAATCGCGACCCACTGTGAAGTTCTGGCGAGAAATTCAGTGGTTAGTCAAAGGCGAATGCCTTTGCGAATGCGAACGAATGTTACGGGAACGGTGACTGATGCTTAGAAGGCCTAAGAGCATGTGGTCAGTGAGCTCATCCACACATCTAAGCAATAAAAAAATAAAATAAAATGGCATAACGAAATTTTGCCTGCCTCCACACATCATACGAAAGATTTGCTCAGGTTAATAGTTGTGGTAAAGAAGTGAAGTACAAACAAATTACATGTACTGCTAAGTGAAAAAAAAAAACAATATAACGGAACCAAATATCCGAACGTCCCCGCCGCTGAGACAGAGCTCTCTGAGCGAGAAAGCACGCCATAAGCGCGCGCGACGACGACCGCCAAAATATTGTCAGTCTTAGTTTATCTGTACTGTTCTCAACTCATTTTGTATTATTTTAGTTAATGTGTCGCTTTTATATTAAAACCTCATACAAATCAGTGTTAACATTATTTCCATATCCTTCGCAAACAGTCCGGAACTCTCAAAAACTCACAAAAGCCCCGCCAGTTGGAATTTTAGTGTTAAAAATGGCGCCCGAACGTTAAGCTGTGAAGTGATATAAGAAAATATTGTGTCTGCATGAACGATTTGTGTTTCACTGACTTTACCGACTACTTTACTGGAGCCCATAGACATCTACAACGTAAATGCGCCACCTACCTTGAGATATAAGTTCTAAGATCTCCGTACAGTTACAACGGCAGTCCCACCCTTCAAACCGAAACGCATTACTGCTTCACGGCAGAAATAGGCAGGGCGGTGGTACCTACCCGCGCGGATTCATAAGAGGTCTTATCACACTAATAATCGGATCTCTTTCGATCGGTCTATGTGAAATAGTTGGTGGCTCCGCTCTGGCTAATTCCAAACGTATACGATCCGGTCTGTGTGAACGGACCCTAAGGGCCGAGTCACACCGAAATGGCAGCGTCCGACAGCGTCGCGGCAAGCAATTTCAGTGTGAAATAATTTTAAACTTTATCTATATACTTAAAAGATCAGTATCGCTTGCAAAGCTTGAAAAGGTCGCGACACAGCCGCCGCCTGCCCGCGGTGAGGCGAGCAGCCGCGCGCCACGTGCGTCTTGTCGGTGGTTCTGCCCGCGGCGACACGAGGCCGCTCGCGGCATCGCGGTCATATAATAACCAATTCCATTACTTCACTACAAACACACGAGTATTATTGCCGAATGAAGAAACTAAACTAGTCAAGAGGAGACTAGGCGCGGGCAGTCTGGAGGCCGCGCGAGGCCGCCAGCGGCGTCGCCAGGGGTCGCTGGCATCGCCGCCGGCCGCTGCCATTCCGGTGTGGCTCGGCCCTAAGTGTTCGAAGTTGAAGTGGAATAAGCCCTAAACAAAATATTTTAAAATAGCAGATGATCACTTGGACTTTTTGGTTGTGTTCTTTACCTATTAGGGGCTATTCAAACTCCTCGTAGATGGGTAGGTGAGTTCACGGGCTCAATAAGTGAGACCTTAGAACTTATGTCTCAAGATGAGTAGGGACATTTACGTTGTAGATGTCTATGGGCTCCGGTAACCACTTAAAACCAGATAGGCCGTGAGCTCGTCCACCCACCTAGGCAATAAAAACAAATAATAAAAAACTGAGAATTTGCTAACACGAGCCCAAGCAAGAGTATTGCTTCGCAGAATCTACCACCGGATCCGCGTCGCGAGAAAATCCGGCGAGAGACCTATCGTAAATGAAGTAAAACATACAACAAAATGAACACTTTATTTATTTACACTATACATGAGTCGTCTATTATCAAAGGTGGCAATCTGTGCATTTGGAAAAAAAAATGTTATTGATATGTCAATACAGATTGATTTGAATATAATCGTCTCCTTCAAAGAATACGGTTCAAAACCTGCATTAAATAAAGGTTAATAGTTAACCTGTTATNGTTATTGATATGTCAATACAGATTGATTTGAATATAATCGTCTCCTTCAAAGAATACGGTTCAAAACCTGCATTAAATAAAGGTTAATAGTTAACCTGTTATTTATCTAAGATGTCGTTCAGAAGAGTTTTGTGACTGCCAATGGAATACAAAGTCAATAATTCGTTTTTCTGATTTACCAATAATTGTCCAAAAGTCACATTGCCGCCTTTGATAATAGTCGACTCACATTATGTGCGAACAGAAAA